CATTTGCACACAGACGTGGCCCCTTGAGCAGTTGTTACCCTTCTCACAGCGGTGCAAGCCCAGGGGTTTCTGGCAGAAGTTGCTGGTCTGATTCTGGAGGGGGAAGTGGCTGTGAAAAGGGGCAGTCTGCTAGTTCTTGATTTTGATCTTGATGTCTTCTGCCGTGGGGCTTGCTGAGTCCTAAAGATGCCCCTGAAGCAGCTCGAAGGTCAATGTGACCCCTCAGCGAAGACGCCAGAGTCAGACCGGAAGCAGCAGATTGTGAATTCTTTTGCGCCTTCCTCCTTAGAGCCCAGAACAGGGCCTGGCACGGAACAGGTGCTCAGAAATATTTGTTGAGTGAATGAGAAAAACATACATGATCCCATAACTTCGGCAGGGCCACTGTTTTCCTGTCCCTGTGGGACACCGTCTAGGAGAAGTGGGTTGAGCCCATTTTGGAAGATGACAATTGGCAATCTCTTATTTAAACTTGGGAGCAGAGGCAGGAGCAGCCCATGCTCCTTAGTTTGGGACACTCTGTGCATCACCAGCATCCCAAAAAAGCCTCCCTTTGAAATGAAATTTCCCCTTCAGCCCCTCCCCAATCCTATTCCAGCTTCCCAGAGCCCCCCCCCCCCACCGTTGTGTTTGACGCATGCCCTTCCAATCTGCTTTCCAGGCATTGAACTCCACAACATCAGTGACAGGCGGCACCATTTATTAGGTGCTTACTATGTGCTGGACACTGTCCTAAGCACTTAATGTATCACATCTCATTTAAACGTCATGTGTCCTTGAAGGTTGCTACTATTGTCCCTACTTTACAGATGAGAAAACCGTAGCAGAGAGACCTTCTGTCAGATGCCCAAGATCACAGAGTAATTGGCAGAAATATACAAGATTGTCATGCTCCTCTGTGTTTTTAGTTTTCCATAAACACAGCTCTGCTGTAGAGCTCGGTCTGTATTTTCCTGTTTTTCACACCACATTGTGTGTTTAAGCTTTGCCCACATTGCTCTCTGCCATGCAGTTCCCTGGGGACAGACAGACAGTCTCCGGCTCTTCGCCACCTCAAATTACACCCAGGACACATCTTTCTATTTGCGAGAGATTTTACCCAGGAGTGGACCTGCCAGGAGGCACTTAGCTGTCAAACTGCCTTTTCAAGCATCTTCACGGGTTTACACTACCACAAAAAGCACCAGACTCCCATTTACCGACTCTCCACCAGGTTGTTTTAAATTTTTATTTATTTTTGAGAAAGAGAGAGAGAGAGAGAGGGCACACGCAGGGGAGGCCAGAGAGAGAGGGAGACACAGAATGTGAAGCAGGCTCCAGGCTCTTAGCTGTCAGCACAGAGCCCAACACGAGGCTCGAACTCACCAATGGAGAGATCAGGACCTGAGCTGAAGTCAGACGCTCAACCAACTGAGCCCCCCAGGCGCCCCACCACCAGCTATCACTTTTACCTGACTTCCTATTCTTACCAATCTGACAGGTGTCATGTGAGATCTTTGTGTTTTTCTTTGCAGCTGTCTGATTACCCTGGGGCGGGGGAGGGGTGAGAGGGGGTAGCGCAGAGAACTTCGTCCTTATGCGATTTTTTTTTTAAATGACGTTTGAACACACACACAAATAGGAAGGACACAATTTCAGAATGCAGTTCGCTCTGATGAAAGGAGGTGAGGGTCCCCCATCTCCTGCCCTATCCCCCAACTGTAAGGAGTCCCCTGAGGGAGATTAGAGCCACCTGCCATTCTCACAAAGGCTCTGCCTGTGGAGAGGAGGGACGAGGCCTCCTGCGGAGATTCCCCTGCCTGTGTCATTGCCCTGCTATAGTGCCCATGGCCTGGAACACTGGGAGTGCAGTTCTGTCCGTGTTCTGGAGCCAAAGCCATTGCACAGGTGCAATGGGTGCCCTACACAAGGGCAATGGCCCTTGGGTGAGAGGAGGAAGCCATTAGCTCCATTTCCCCACACACTGGGCCCCGGGAGCCCGCACAGGCCTGTGTACAAGCCCCCGCCCACCTCGGTGCAGAAGAGCAAACTCAGGCTGCTCATCTCACTTCTCGAGTCTCAGTCTCCTCATCTGCAAAATGGGGGTGATGAGGACACCTCTCCTAGAGAAAGCCTGAGAGAATAGGGGCCTCAGGTATCACAGTGAGGGGCTGCGACACGCTCGGCCTCCTGTCACAAGCAGTAGTGTCAAAAAGCCCCACTGGATGGAGGCAAAGAGGCAGTCACACGGGTCACACGGTGCATCACGTCTCAGATCTCCAGGCCAGTGGATGGTGGACAAGGCCACCCCCATCCCTCAGCTGTCCCTCCCTCACCCCGGAGCCTCCAGGTCAAATAGCATCCGGAGCAGGTGTGGGCACAGGAGAAGCTTCTTCCCCTCGGGAAGCTTCCGAGGCCCTCAGATGTGGCCACAAAAACACGCGCCAGCCAAGGCAGGCCACGTACAGGGCTAGTGGCTACGTCAGGCTCCTGGGCGGTGGCTGAGGTAGTGGGAACTGACAGAGCCCAGGGGAAACCTGGCAGAATCGAATCGCAGCCCTCCAGGCCTTTGCCTTCCTGTCCCTTTGCCTGGAGCCTTCCCCCCAGATAGCTCCTCACTTAATGGGGCTTTCCACCCCAGTCTCACCTACGGTCTCCCCCCGAGCCCTGTCCGGAATGGCTGGGACCATCCTGCCTGCTCCAGGACTCCCTACACCTCCCTTATTATGCTTTATTTTCCCCAGGGCACGTGTTACCATCTAACATACCGTTCATCTTCCATATTGTCTATCTCTCCCAATCAGAAATAAACTTGTTTAGGGGCGCCTGGGTGGGCCAGTTGGTTAAGCCTCCAACTTCAGCTCAGGTCATGATCTCGAGGATTGTGGGTTTGAGCCAAGCGTTGGGCTCTGTGCTGACAGCTCAGAGCCTGGAGCCTGCTTCAGATTCGGTGTCTCCCTCTCTCTCTGCCCCTCCGCTGCTCATGCTCTGTCTCTCTCAAAAATAAATAATACATTAAAAAAAAAAAGAAAGAAATTCAGAAAACACACATAATCATCACTCCCTATAATAATGCCTAGCATGCAAGATAGATAAAAATTTTAGGAGCCTCTCATAAAAATGCACACCTTAAATGTGCAGCTCTCATGTGTTTTTATATACTATCACCACCCAGTTCAAGTGGTAAAACATTTCCGGGGGGCTCTCTCCTTTGCACGTGCCGCCAGCCAACCCCCACCTCCTAAGGTACCATTATACTGACTTCCCCAATCTGTCCCTGAACTTCATTTGAATGACTTCCATCAATGTGTACCGTAGTGCATACTCTTCTGTTTGGCTTCTTTGGCTTAATATAACATCTACAAGATCCATCACAATGTTGCGTGTCACAGCCATTAGTTCTTTTCTGGTGCTGTTCTATTGTACGACAGTCTATCATTTATTTATTCATGTTCTTGTTGCTGGGCACCTGGGCTGGTTCCGGCTGGGGGCTGTGAACAGGTGTGTGTCGGTGGCAACAAGCCTAGAAATGGAATCGGGTTGTGGGGAGTGTGGGTCAGCAGACTCCAGGAGAAGCTGCCTAGCCATTTGCTAAGACGGTTGCACCCTCTGACATTCCCACCAGCAGCATGATCTTTGAGGCCACTACCTCCTCTCCAGCACGCGGTGCGAGCACGCTCTTTGTTTCAGGCTCCCAGTGGGGACTGTGGCATCTCCTGTCCCTGACGAGTGAGGTTGTTGGGTGCTCAAGGAACGTTTGCTGCCTGAATCCTCAGCTGTGCTGTGGATGGAGCCTCTCCACTCAGCAGGGAGGGCTGGGTCCACACCTTTCCCCCGAGGGAGGTAGCCCCTGGTGGCCACGGTGCCTCAAAAGCTGCTGCTCTTTTCACAAACTGGTCCCACTTCCACCCTAGGGCGCAGTCAAGGCTGGACCGAGGCATTCAGATAGGACCTGGCCCCCAGCTCAAGGGTCCCTCATGAAAATGGAGAACAAAGGGAGAAAATCATCGGGCCCAGACAGGGCTCTGCAGATGGAAGGCTGAGGAGCCGCGGCTCCTGGTGCCCAGTAGCGCCTGCCAGGCACGGGCATCTTCCCCGTTCACCAGGCTGCACCCAGAGCCCAGGCCCAGTCAGGGGTGCTGTCTCCCCAGGGTCCCACCCTCACTTAGGAGGCTACTTTCCTAATGCTTGGTAAGGACGGGATCAGGCCCTTCCCAGAGGCCTATGAGGTCCTGTGGCAGAGGCAGCAAGTCAGTCTGGCCACCTAATGTCCCTCAGGTGGGGCCTTGTGACAGTCCCTGCCGGAGGTGAAGAGCCAACAGGCCACTTCCAGTCCTGGCCGCAAAACACCTCTGTGGTCTATGAGCTCGCCCTTTTCACAGTGACTTTCAAAGTCATGGGTATTTTGAGTTTGTTACATCAGGCCTTTGTCCTAACCAATAACCAGAGTGTATGGTACAGCACATATAACTGACATAGGTAATCGCTAGCCCCAGTTTACAGCTGAGAAAACTGAGACATAGAGAAGCTATAGAGTTCGCTCAAGGCTCATAAATGGGAAAACTCAGGATTTGAACCCGGGGCCTGGCTCCAGAGGTTATGCCCATCGGCCCACTGCCCAGGCCTGGAAAGCAGAGATGCGGGCCAGCGGCTCCTGGACACCTTACCTCATCTGTGTCTCCTCCAGCCTTTTCCCTGGAGGCTGCTCCCAGTACCCTGGCCTCCTTGCCTTTCCAAACCCTCCCCAGCCTGGTCACTGTGAACCCTCTGAGTTCAGGACCTCACCTGTGGACAGAGCCCAGCAGCAGGCTCCACAGGTCTCTTCCTCTCCCACCCCGACTCATCGCACCTGCTTGGCCCGCCCTCAGCTCAGCGGAGCCTGGTGTCCACCCTCCCCGGATGGGCCCAACTTGCTGCTAGGGAAAACGGCTCCCATCCCTGGGCCTTTGGGAACCGCCTTCCATTCATGGTCCCCGTCAGGCAGAGCTCTTTCAGTTATAAGTGACAGAAAGCCAACTGGCTTCAAGAGGGAAAATGTTTATTGGCTCACGTGACTAAGAAGTCCAAGATACACAGGGTTCAGCAAGACTGGGTGTCTCCAGGTGTCAGCGGAGATCGGTATCTCCGAGCCTCGTGGATCTGCTGTGCTGACATCGTTCTCAGCCAGAATCACTCCTCGGGGTGGGAAATGGCTTCTAGCAGCACCCAGCCTACATTCTGCTAGCTTTGCTACCCCGATGTGGCCACTGTCATCCTCTCCAGGGCTCCCGAGTTGGTTTCTTGGGGCCTTCTGGGACATGGGAGTGCTAGCGATCTCGTGAATACCCTTCCCCAACAGCCCCACCTCAAGTCCCAAGGGCTCAGGCGTGTTGACTGGCCCGCACCACTCACGGTGGCCAGAGTGTGTGGTGTGATGGCCCCACCCCTTGACATCAGGGAGTGGGGTCAGCTGCACGTACTACAGGTTGAGTAGAAGAGACATGGTCCCCAAAAGATGGCAGGGACGCTAACCAGAGGGGGAGGGGAGGAGAAGCAGACAGGACCCAGGTACCCCTAGGCTCCGGGTGCCCCGGGCCCATCCACGCCTGCCACCTGGCCTCCTCTTCCCCAGAGAAGCCAGACCCTGTTGGATAAAAACTGAATAAACTGAAAACCTCAACGCCCCTGCCAAACCCGCTTGTCGCCCTCCGCCTCTCCCTGCTCAGTCTGGGGGAGGCCTCCGGCCACCTGACCTCACCGCATCCACCCCCTCCCATCCCGGGTCCCCTTCCTCGCTAACAGCTGACATTTCTGCTACCTTAAAAAGCAAAACTCAAAACCGTCTCTCTGTCCTCGTTCCGAGCCACAGCTCTCATCCCCACTTCTCGGCCCTGAGCATCGCTTCTCCTCACCTCGGCTTCTCACCTCCAGCTCCCGGCCTGTCGACACCCAGCAAGCCTTCCCTACAGGCTGCAAGGTGTGGTGGCCTCTGAGCTCTCCCTCCTCCCAGACATGCTTGCGTGGGCACCCCCTGTGGCTCCTGGGGGCCCTGGGCGTGGCTGCTCTTCAGTCTCCTTCAGCGGCCCGTCCAGGCCCTCCCCCGAGGCGAGGTCACCCACTGTCCAAGCTCACACATCTGTCTCCCGGCCCCTACGTTCCAGTGCCTTCTCCTGGCAGCTTCATAGGCACCCCAAACTCGTCACAGCCCCACACCGAACCTCGTTCTTTCTCTGTGTCCTCCAGCTGGAGGGGGGCCCCTGCCCAAGTCACAGCAGAAAGAAACGTGGGGATCCTTAAGAGCACCCTCCCTTTCAGGCCCACTTCCAGTCAGTTCTCAGCACCCTGGAGTCTACTGATATACACACACCGTCTGCCCACCGTCTTCCATGTCTCCTGCTCAGCCTTCCCGAGCCCCTGCGCCCCGAAGGCACCCGTCCACCTCGTGGACCCCGCAGTTCCAGGGTCTGCTCAGAAATGGGGGTGGACTGCCCAGCTGTGTCACCGTCCGGCTCGACAGCCGATCTCTGAGGCGCTCGACAGTCCCACCTACCTCTGCTCTCCCTGCGCCTTCCCACATACCCTTCATGGCACCAGGCACAGAGCTCTACACTTTGCAAGGTCTCTTCCCATTACCTGTCCAGTCTGTCCCTTTGCAGCAGCCCGGAGAGGGCAGACCAGTCTCCATCAGAGAGACGCGAAAAGGCCACTCAGAGAAAGACAGGCACCTTTCCAGGGTCAAACAGCACAATGAAACGGGTCATCCCCCAGCATAAGCAGCACCTCCGGCCCTACACCGCCACTCTGCCCGCCTTCCTTCTGTCAGCACCGCTGCTCCTAGCGTGGCAGAACCATGGCCTCGGGCCCCTCCCTTCCCTCAGCTGCTGCCCTGCCCACCACGGCTTCTGGCCTCAGCTCAGCATGGGGAAAGCAGGTGGGGGGATGGGAAGGTGGCCGCAACGGCCTGGACATAGGCTGGGACAGACACTGGCGTTCCCTTTTATTATTAATTGTTTAATAAATTTAAGAACAGCTCTATCTTTTCTCCTCCCCCCAGAGCAACTAAAACCAACTAAAAGGGGGCGTGGCCTGGGGGGCAGAGGGCGCTAGGAGTCATAGTCCTCTTCATCCTCTGCGTCAGGTGCTGAGGGGCCCGGGGGGGCCGGGGGCAGAGGCAGACTCGAGGTGAAGGGCATGAAGGGTGTCGGGGGGCTGCGGGACAGAAAGCAGGAGAGAAAGATCAAGCTGCTCTCCAGGGCGCATTCCCGCTCACTGAGCCCTACCCGACCCCGGTAAGCATGGAGCCCACGGCCCTCTGTAGCCATGGGCAACCAAGCTCAGGAAGAGAAGGGCCCAGAACAAGTCATACAACACCTGCTCAAGCCCCATCCACCCGGGTGGGGTGTGGGGGGAAGAAGGGACCTTCCGAGAGCAGTCTCCTGCCTTCAAGCCCTCCTCGGTTCCTCCCTTCCCATCCCCCAAATCTGCCGCAACCAACAAAACCAAGTGGCCAGAGAGGACAGGAAGGGCAAGTCAGCCTGAGGCATCTGTTAGCCCCCTCTGGTGCCACTGAGCAGCTTACCTCTGAAAGTGGGCAGGGGGGTGGCTGGCCTGGGGTGGAGCCTGGGACGTCTCCTCTTCCCCGTCAGTATCTGTGTCGTCAGACTCATCCTGGGAGCAAGACAGGGTTCAGAGGTGACAAGAAAAGCATGAGGCCATCCCTGGAGAGCCTGGGCCCCTGGGACTGACCCCTAGAGTCCCAGTTTAGCAAAAAAAAACACAGCTGAGCATGGGACCAGGGGTCCAGCCGGCTCAGCCTGATGCAGGGCTGCTCTCTCCCTACCACGGGGTAGGGCGGAGGGCTGGGGGCCTCACTCACCTCCTGCTCCGAGTCGGTCCCAGACAGCTTCTTGTCCTTGCCTTTGCTTCCCATCCCGCCATTCTTCCGGCCACTGCTGCCTGGCTTCCGGCCCCTTCGGGAAGGCACAGTCGGTCTGCCCAGAGGCCTCACCACCCCCTGAGCGCCCCCCAACCACCCCCGATCCTTGTGGCCGTGGCCTTCCCCGCCCCGACACCTGGCCCCGGCTCCCCACCTGCGGGCACCCTTGTCCCCGTCCAGGTGGTTGTCTTCCCCGTCTCCCTGCATGTCAGGCACAGAGGCCACCAGGTCCTTCAAGAAGTCAAACTGCTGCTCCAGCTCAATGCACTGCTTCCTGGAAGAGATGGGGAGAAGATGGCATTCAGGTAGGGCCCAGATGTCTGGAGAATGTCCTGGGGTCTCTGGATGTCAGGAGAATGGAGCCTGGAAAACCTCCACCCCCATCTCCACTCCCCCAACTTCCCTCTTGGGAGACCACCCAATCCGTCCCCCTCCGGGTCAAGTAGGTGCTTGAGGCTTTGCCGCTAGTCTCCCAGCAGCCTCCCACCTCCCCTCAGTGCGTGAACTCCCAGTGAGCCCTCCCAGATCCCAGGCCACTCACAGGTGGGATGTGGTCATGGTCTTGGCGTTCCGGGACTGGGTCACCTGGCAGGCCTTTTTCAACAGCGACTCCAGGAAGAGCTCAAGCGCCCGGGCTGAGGAGCGTCAAGGAGAACGCGGGTGGGGGATCCCCTGCCTAAACGAGGCGACTCCGGCCTCCCCCCGCCCCCAACTCCACGTCCCTCAACCTGGCCAGGCCCCGACAGGATACAGATGATGACAGGCACAGCCGCCGCCACCTTCCCAATCTCTTCGTCAGTTTGCATGATCTTCTTGATCCGCGCCTGGGGAGGGGGCACAAAGCTCGGACCCTGTCGCCTCGGTGCTGGGCGACAGAAGGGTGCTGGGGGGTGACGAGAGAGGGAATCCCGGGAGAAAGGGGGCGGGGGGCCCCAACGCGAGGAGAGCACGGAAGGGGGCGGGGCGTCCGTGCCCCCGAACACCGCGACGCGCCCGCCCTCCCCGCCCCCCCCAGCCCCGGCCGGACTTGGTCCGGAGTCTCCAGAGAGCCGGGCCCGCTCTTCCCGGGCCCGGCCACGTGCTCACCGGCGGGAACCGCGCGTTATACTTCTTCTTCTTGCTCGGCATCTCAGGGCCTCTCTCGCCGCGCCGGGCCCAGCGCCGCCGCCCGCAGCTTCCCGGCCCCCGGGCCTGCTCGCCGCCCGCCTGCCGCGGTTCCCCCGGGTCCTGGTGCCGCCTGCTCCGCCCCCGCCGCTCCCCACGGGGTCCTAGCGCCGCCGTTCAGGACGCCGCTCGCAGGACCGGAGTGCCCTCCCTTTGCAAAAAGCCTCCCGGGCGGAGTGCGTCGATCCCGTACTTGACCGCCACTCCTGCCCGCCCCCGAGCCTAGGAGAGCGAACGTTAGCCCCGCCCCTAAGCCCCGCCCCGCCCCGGGTGCCCCGGCGGCCCCGCCCCCGGGGTCAGCCCCTCCTCCTATCGGGCCCCGCCCCGCGGCGCGGCCGACCGGCCCGGTGGCCCCGCCCCGTGCTGCGCTTGTCTATAAAGTTGTTGTTGAGGCGGCGGGCGCTAAGATGGCGGCGGCGGCAGCCGTGGCGGGGGCGGGGCGCGGTGGCGGCGGCGGCGGCGCGGAGCCCCGGCAGGATCGGAGCCGGGCGCGGGGCTGGAGCGGCGCCGAGCGCGGCGAAGGCCGGAGGTGACGGCGGGGCTGCGGGAAGGGGCAGGGGCTGGGCGGCGGCGCGGCTGGGGCTGTGGACGCTAATGGCGGCGGGCCGGAGGCTGGACCTCTCGTGGGGTCTTAACAAGCCCGCGTTCTTGTCGGGCCACCGCCCTATTGGCCTTGGACCGATCACTGCCCTTTCTGAGCATCGATGTGCTCGTCTTCAAGTGGGCCCGACAAGTGCCAGCCTGAGAGGTCTGGCCCTACTGGGCCTGCCGCGATGCTGCGTGAACGTGGCTTCTTTGCCCCCCTCCGTTAAATCCCAGTGCTCGGGATTCCTACCAGTTATTGGCAGGACCCGGTGGGGTCTCTGGGCTGATTGCTCCCACACCTGAATTCGTGTTTCTGCCCTGACACTCACTGCAGGTGTGACCTTGGGTAAGTCACTTCTCTCTGAGCTTCAGTTTTCTGGTCTGCAAATCGGGGAGAGTGGTACTAATATTAGCAACACCTTTTTTGCAAGGCATACTCCACCTCAGGTGTTTACTTGTCAACAGCCCTGGGACACAGGAAGAGTTGTCCACTGTATAAAGATGAAGCAACTGAGGACGTTAAGTCTTGCCCAAGGCCACAGAGTTGTAGCTCATTGGCTGCACCCGCTAGGGCCCAGCAAATTGTCCTGGACCTGCCCTAATCGGGTTCCTTCCCAGCAGGATGGAGCCAGGTGAAGAAGTGGAGGAGGAAGACTCTCCAGGCGGCCGGGAAGATGGCTTCACTGCGGAGCATCTGGCCGCAGAGGCCATGGCCGCCGACATGGACCCCTGGCTGGTGTTTGATGCCCGCACCACGCCTGCCGCTGAGCTGGATGCCTGGTTGGCCAAGTACCCACCATCCCAAGTTACTCGCTATGGGGACCCTGGCTCGCCCAACTCGGAGCCGGTGGGCTGGATTGCAGCGTATGGGCAGGGCTACGTCCCCAACTCCGGCGATGTGCAAGGCCTGCAGGCAGCCTGGGAGGTTCTGCAGACCAGCGGGCGCCCCGTCACCCCGAGTACCCTGCGGCAGCTGGCCATCACCCATCATGTGCTCTCTGGCAAGTGGCTGATACACCTGGCACCTGGCTTCAAGCTGGACCACGCCTGGGCTGGCATTGCTCGGGCTGTGGTCGAGGGCCGGCTTCAGGTGGCCAAGGTGAGCCCACGGGCCAGGGAGGGCGGGCGCCAGGTCATCTGTGTTTACACGGATGACTTCACGGACCGCTTGGGTGTGCTGGAGGCGGATGCGGCCATCCGTGCGGCGGGCATTAAGTGCCTGCTCACCTACAAGCCTGACGTCTACACCTACCTGGGCATCTACCGGGCCAACCGCTGGCACCTCTGCCCCACTCTCTATGAGAGTCGTTTCCAGCTGGGGGGCAGTGCCCGCGGCTCCCGCGTCCTGGACCGCGCCAACAATGTGGAGCTGACCTAGTGCGGCCACGTGGGGAGGACCGCCTTCCACCCCCTCCCACACCAGGGATGGATCCTCCCGTCTCCTCCTCTCCATCCCAAAGAGTTCTAGCCCCCCAACTCTGAGGACTGGGTCACTCGGGAACTGCCTGCATCTTGGATCCCTTTGAACACTTGTCCTCTGTTCAGGGCTGATTCAAGTCCCCACCAGCTGGAGGCTCCGGCTCCCTGAGGGCCAGACCGTCAGCCTCTCTTTTCACTGCTGCTCCCCACGCTCACTACAGGCTGGGCACAGCTTTCCCGGAGGAGAGCCTTCCTTGGCCGCCCTCATGTCCAGCTGTCCCTCCCTCCCCTCCTGCATTCTTCCCTTCTCCTCCCCGCAAGAGAGAAAAATTAGTGCTTCCAGTCCCGCTTGGAGCCTTCGCAGTCCAAGGGGCAAAGGCACTGCAGGCTTAAGCATGCTATTTGGTTGGGGGGAGGGGGTGATTGTATCCACTCAGCCTTTTGCAGACAGAGGGGCTGCCAGGGCCATGGACGTGGGGCCTGCCCCTCCCTACCATCTCCGACAGCCTGCACCACCTTCCTTCCTTCCTTCCTTCCTTCCTTCCTTCCTTCCTTCCTTCCTTCCTTCCTTCCTTCCTTCCTTCGCTACCTTGACATGTGCCTGCTCCTGGCATTTCAATAAAGCCCAGTTTGGGTCTGTGTCTTGAGTGTTTTTTTAAAATGCTGTGTTGGTGGTTCCTGCTTTGGGTGCTGGAGAGAGGCAGGGCCGGAGAGATTGCTTCTCTGTCCTAACCGGGCACCCCTAACCGCCCCCCAGTGATGAGATTCACCTCCCTGCCGAGGCTGGGAACCTCTCTGAGAGCCCCTGCAAAGGCTGTTCCGTTTCTCCTCCATCCCAAGAATCAGAAACGGTTTCTCAGTTGTTGCCCATAAATCTAAGAGCTTGACGCAGCAGAGTCTGAGGGGCTACTACTAGCCCACAGGGTATGTTCGTGCCAGTTAGAGAAAGGTACCCTCTTGTTCCTGGCACTTCTAGGTTAGGGCATATGCTCTGGTGAGCAGACCGCGGGCTAGATTTCAGCAGCCTCGTGCAGTGAGCAACATGCACAGCTGTAAGCTGCGGAAGCCTGTGCAGTGAGCAACATGCACAGCTGTAAGCTGCAGAAGCCCTCCCAGTTATACTCACTTCTCTCGCCCTGACTGTCCTGGGCCGCTGGGCAGTGTGCAGAGTGCTTCCATATTCATCGTATCATTCTCACAACCTGTTTAGAAGTAGATGTTGGTCCCATTGCGCGGTCAAGAAAATTGAGGCCAAGAAGATAAAGGGGTTCTCTCGGGGTCGTGCAGCGAATTGGGCAGAGTGGGACATGCACCCTGGCCCCTGGCTCCTCCTCAGACTGTTGTCCAGGGCCTCGGCCACAGTGAGCTCTTCACAGCCCACGAGGCGCATTCACGCACGTGATCTTGCCGGGCAGCCCGGCTCAGCCAAGGCTGCTGTAGCCTGGGAGCCTGGCCCTGGCCTTGGTTGGAAGCCAGGGTTTCTGGCAAGGAGCCCCTTGGGATGCTGCTCTCGTGCCGTGCCGGGGCTGACTCAGCCTTCGGCAGCCTCACCAAATTGGAATTTGGAGCAGGGGAGCGGAGATGCCACTGGGCTGACTGGGTGGAAGTGGGTGAGTCATGAGATGCTGCCTCAGCCCCCTCCCCAGCTTCCTCTTCACCCCAAGTTTCCCCAGGATTGAGTCCCCCCTCAGCCCGGCCCTGGGAACTCCCAGAGCTGGGTGGTCTCTGACTTGGGGCCCTACCTCCCTCAGACAAGCAATGCTTTGCACTTGACCAAATTGGGCCGAGGCTCGGAGGGGTCCTGGCCGGGCCCTCCTTGGTCTCCCAGAGATGCCCAAGTGGTATCAGCAGCACCTGATTCTCTTTTCCTAACTAAGCATTTCACACGCTCCTGCCCTTTCCTCCACCCTGGCGGCCAGGCCTCACTCTCTCCCACACCACTGTGGCTTGCCTCCTCTGTTCCATTCCCCACTGCTGACCGCCCCCCACCCCCCACCCCCCACAGAGCTCTCCTGCAGAGCCGCCCAGGCCCCTCGCTTACTCAGAGCCCTTCTGTGGTTCCCCACGGCCTGCAATATGGAGCCCGCACCCCTGAAGCACCCGTGACCTAGACCCCTGCCAAGCCCCAGCTTCCCTCAGGTGCCCCTTCCAGCCTGTGCCTACCCTACTGGAACCAACTGGCACTTCCTTCCCTCCCTGGCATGAGGCCCTGGGCCGCAGGCCGTTCCTTCTGCTTGTACACCTGTCGTTCAGCAAGACTCGGGAGGTTACTTATGTAATTGCTTTATTGATGTCTGTCCCCCACCAGTCCCTAAGCCACAGGCCCAGACTGTGGGGCTTAGCAAAAGCAGAAACAATGTCTAAATCTCAGCCCGTCCCAGGGGCCTAACACAGTGCTTGGCCAGAGCAACCTCTCCATAAATCTATTAACTAAAATCCGAATCCACATTTCAGTGCAAGCCCGGCCCCTGCCTGTTCCTCTGGCCTCCTTTCCTCCACTCTCTGCTTCACCCTTCTTGTTCCAGAAACACGAGCGGCCTGTTGTTTTCTTGCATCCATGCTGGCCTTTCTCACTTTTGTGCCTTGTCATGCTGTCATCCGCATTTGATGTGCCTGAACCTCAACTGTTTCCTGGCTGAACGAACCGCAGACGCCCCCAGCTCGTCCTCTTCGATTCCTTCTTCCCCATCCTTCCACACACACCACAGGCTCCGGTCACACCCACCCACCTCTCACCTGTGTGGCTGGGGCCCCTCAAAGACAGTGGCCACACTTTATCCCACGGGGTATCTTCAGTGTCCAGCATAGGACCTGGCCCAGCACAAGTGCCAAAAAAACATTAATGAATAAACGAGTGATTGAATGAAGTCCCTCTCTGTCTCTGGGCCCCTTTCCTCATTCTGTTCATGATGAGAGCCAGGACCACACTGAGTGTTTACATACGCTGTCTCATGCAAGTCTCACCTGGAGCTATTATTGTTACCATTTTGCAGATGAGAAAACTGAGGCCCAGAGCGGCTCACTAATTGGCTCCCAGTTGCAAAGCCGTAAGTGGCAGAGCCAAGATTTGAACCCAGGTCGTGCAACTCCAGAGCACCTGGAGCTGAGCCACCACTACATGAAAGTGCTGATGTGATGAGCGGCTGCAAAGATAAATAAGTTCCAGCAAGGACTTGGGACCTGATTCATAAAGCACACAAGTTAGGGCCTCATAACTGCTGGGGAGAGAGACCGGGCCAAGACTAAGATTCCATTTTACTGGTGGAGAAACTGAGGCCCAGAGAGTACAATGACTAAGCCTACCTGGGCAGGAAGGATCTCCCAGGCCTATGGTAAGGACTGCTTCCATACCAGGCCAGGGGCTCCCCGAAGCCCACCCCCTCGTGCTGACAGGGAAATCTGGCCTGTTTGGAGTCAGGGAGCAGCCGAGGCCCAGGGTTAGGCTGAATAAATTTGGACAAGCCTCTGTGCTCTGCTCTCTTTTATAAAACCATTGGAAGGTGACAGATGAGGGAAAGGAGACTCCTCCACCCCCACCTCCCACTCACATGTCCTGTGAACCCCAACCCCCCGCCCCGGGAGGAGTCTCGAGAGAGATTGGCCAGGGAATGGGGAGACAATCTGCCAGACCCCTGATTTCAGCTGGGGCCAGGGGCTAAACCAGGGAAGACAGGAAATAGCTGAGCTGGGAGAAAGTTTCAGCCAGGGCTTTGGCGAGGTTTTGGGGATTTTCCCAGCAGGGCTACTGCACCCCACTCCCGCCCGCTGGGAGGGGCCCTGGCAGGGACACAGCTGATTCATCCTGGGAGGGAAACTCCCCACTTCTGTGACGCGCATCCCCTAGACACTGAGGGGTAACCTGAGGGCATCGAGCCCAGAAACCCACTGAACCCATTTTTCCTTGGCTTCCCAGCAGGGCATGAAACCCCCCCAGAAGGGACAGACGGACAGAGTCAGGCAGAGGAGGACATGGGGGCAGCTTCCCAGGGAATGACCTCAGAGATCAGAACCAAAGCAATGGCCAGACGAGGGGTGACTCTGGCACCCCCCCGCCCCCCCCACCCATTTTTTAGATGAGGACACTGAGCCTCAGATAGCAAGAGCAAACGGGCACAAAGACCCACTCTGTGCCAGGCACTGCTCTAAGCAGTTTGCAAGCATTAACTTTCTGTTCCTTCCAGCCCTCATTTTACTGAGGAGCAAACTGCAGCCAAAAGAGGTAAAGTAACTTGGCCATAGTCAAGGCTCGAAACGCTCTGGCTCCACAACTCCCAGAAGTGCTTGTACACAGCCCTACGGCAGGAGGCTGTGTGCCTGGTCCCTGAGCAGCTCTGGATCCCAGGGCATACGTGTTAGCCACAGGGCCCTAGCTCCTCCAAGGCTAAAAGGAGAGAGCTGGTCCCGCAGGGGGGAAAAAAATCAGCCAAACCCCCAGAGGCCAGAAGAGGGCAGAGAAGCATTCCCGCCAAAATTGTCCTCTCTAGGGCTTTGACTCCTTTCCAAACCCCAATCCTTTCCTCCCGAGTCAGAGCCTCCATTTCCGGTCTGCCAGCCTCACTCCCGGACGCCGCGCACTCACACGGGAACACACAGGCACAGGCGTGCGCGCTGAGTCCAGCCTCCAGACCCCTGTCCCTCGGCGAGGCAAGCTGGGGTCCTGCCGGGGTCGGAGGGGCCTGAGAGCTGTGACTTTATGAGGCATGGCCAGAGGCCCTCCGCAGGCAAGCTCTGCCCTATCTGGCTCCCGCTCACAGGCTGCATGAGTCACCCCCTGGCCCCCCATGACTCAGTTTACATGGGTGCCCAGAGGACCTCCCAGCGAGGGTGGGGTGGTTTACTGGCCCAGCCTGGGCCGGCCAGCCTTTTATCCCAGGATGAGAGTTTCATCCCCGTCCTGGCCCTGGCAGGAACTGGCGGCCAAGAGCCCAGGGTGGGGGGAAGCCTCAGGTCTGGGAGGGTGAGGAGAGCCCAAGAAGTGGGTGATGGGTCCTAACTGCCCTGGGCTCAGGGCTACAGGGAGAAGGAGCTCTCTAAGAAACCTCAGGGGTGAGGCTGAGCGGGCAGAGCCATCCTGGGCACTGAGAGCACAGCCCCTGATGCCCTCCATTCAGAGGAAGGCTCCACATGGCCCAAAACATTACAGCAAGAAGATGCTCACTGGCACCTACTGAGCTCTCCTTGGACAGTCCTGTGCTAGGCGGCACGCCGTATCTCATTTACTCCGCCAACAACCCTGAGAAGCAGGTAGAATCACGATATCATTTTTACAAATGAGGAGACTGAGGCATAGAGGTGTTAAGAGAATGTGGCTCAGAAAGTGGCTGAGCTGGGATTCGAACCCAGGCCATCTGATTCCAAAACTCGGGCTGTTAGCCCCTGCTGCTGCTGTGCTGGTTGGAGCAGGTCAGAGATGCCCCACGGCTGGGACCATATCTCTGATGCTCTACAGGACTCCCTGGGCTGCAGAGGTGGCTGGTGGGAAAGGGAACCTCAGGACAAAAGTAGGGAGATGGTAGCCTTGTCCCCGGCTTCCGCTT